CATAGCACTTGGTGAACCTCGAAGTGCAGATTTCGTGGCAGGTACAGCAGTTGGTGAATCTCGAAGCCCAGATTTTGTGGAAAGCAGAGCACTTAGTGACTTAGTGAATCTCGACACGCAGATTTCGTGGCAAGCACACCACTTTTGTGAGCCTCGATGTTTAGATTTCAGCGCGCACTCTCTCTCACTCTCTCACTCTCATCCACACCCACTCTCACTCACACTCACATTCACACTCACTCACACTCACATTGACACTCGGACTCACTCACTCTCATCCACACTCACTCTCACCCTCACTCACACTCACATCTCACATCTCACTCTCACTCTCACTCTCACTCTCACACTCACTCTCCCACTCTCACTCTTACTCTCACTCACACTCACTCTCACTCCCACCCACACTCACTCACCCACCTTCACTCTCACTCACACTCTCACTCTCACTCTCACTCACACCCACACTCTCCCACTCACTCACACTCACACTTCCTCACACTCTCACTCACTGCAGCAGAAGCAGGGATTACAGATGACTGGCGCCATGCGTTCATGACGAGCAGCCATGAGCGGCCTTTTCGGCCCCTGCAGCTACTCCACGGAGTCCCATTGGGATTCCCATTCAATCCACGGCCACCAGCTCCACCGGACCATCCAGCCAACACAATGGTCCCGCAGGGTCGGCATCGCCGGTCTACGCACGTTTGAGGTTTTTCCCTGGCTCCTTGCGTATCATGGTACGGCTGACTATACAGCCCGAACGCTCAGCCATGGCAAATTCTGTGGCCTGATACCCACAAGGAGCATCGCCGAGTCCGTCTTTACCACACATCTTCTTCAAGAAATCCGAGACCGGCGCTTCGACTTGAATGCTATCGCAGAAGCCCTTCATTCTGCACAAGGCACCGCCATCCCTAACAAGACGACCCAAGCACGGGCCTTCCACGCCCCATTGATCGCTCTTATCACTGAGCAACTCCAAGCCCATGCCCCAGCTGCAGCCGAAGGTTCCGCACTTCGTGCCCCCAGTAGCTATGTTGGACGGGGGGAGCTGAGAAGCCAATCTCCGAGGCTCGCGGCTTGGCTTGGCCGGGGAAGCAACACCAGCTTTCCGACGAAGCGTTGATGGAGATCATGGGCTTGCTTGCTTGAGCAAGTCGCAGCCGGACAGCCGACTCAAAGGGACATCACCATGGTTCCAGGTCACTACTCCAGCAAGAAGATGCTGTTGTGCCATTTTCAGAATTTTCAGGCCGCTGGGGCGTCAACATGTCGTGCAAAAGCTCTAGCCGCCGCCATGAAAGAAAAAGACTGCGGCTTGGTTGAGATTGGGTCAGGGATCGTTTTGTATCACGCGTTATCGTATTTAGTACGTGCTTGGAACCTGTGGAAAGCAGGTTATGTTTCCTCAATACATTTCACTAACCAAAATGGCTGGCCATTTTGGCTCAAGATCTTGCCTTTTGAAGAGAAAAAACGTTTGCTCATGCTTTTTGTCTTCTTTGATTTGCAGCTATGGCTACTTCCAGTGCTTCTCCGAAAGCTTCTGAGAGCGAAAGTTACTGGTCTCTTTGAATGGGACATCCTGCCCGCGGACACGAGGGCGGTCAAGTTCCTCGAGGTGGAGGAACAGGTCCTTGAAGCAGCGGCCAGTGCTGCGGATGCGCTTGCTGCCGCCCCGCCGACTCGGATGGCAACCCGCCCGGACGAGGCGCACTGCAGCACTTGTTTGAGAAGCTTTTGCCACACAATCACGAAGCCCTGTCACATGACGGACAAGAGCCGTTTCACCCATGTTGATGCAAAGCGGGGGGCGGTCAGCTGGAGCCTCTGCATGAGCCAGGTTCATCCATTGGTAGAAGGCCATCGCCTCAGCGCATACGCCACTATCGCAGAAGCCCTTGCGAAAAAGTACCCTGACGGGAATTATGATTTTTTTTACGTTGGGCTCATGTCCGTTGGGCGGGGCAGCCAGCGCACGGCTTGAGTCATTCTTGACATTGCGCAGAGGTCGGTTGACCGTGACTGCGGGCGATTCAAATTATGCCTTTTCCAGCTACATTGTCAAGTGCCAAGACGATGAGATTGAAGAACTGATGGAGAACTACGCCGAGTCCTTGGCGAAGGCTGCGGAGGAGGACAAGAAAGTACCGGGTCGCTTCCAAGAATTCGACGCAGCAGTGACTGCACCACTCTTGCCTGCTCAAACCCCGACGAGCATCTGCCTTTGACCCTCAGGCCCTTTGTGATTGGCTAGACTCTATGAGAGCAAAGGCCGGTTTAGTGCGGGCTCTCGTTCACAGGTGGCTATGGCAGGAAAAGGCTGCAGTCGAGGGCTTTGGACGCCAGAAGATTCATGATTTGTTTGCGCAAGCTGGAGTTCGCAAACGAGAACATGCAGGAAACATCTGTGATGGCACCCGCCATTGGGAGGATGCTGAATTGTCCTTTCTGTCCACAACAATTTCAGCATCGTCAATCTCTGCAAGCTCATCTCTGGCGTAAGCACCAGGAGACTTCTTTGGAGCGCAAGTACGTCACTGGACGGCAAATGCTTTTGGACCACCCAGCGGGCGCAGCAACATCTTAGTCGTAGTCGGCTCCATGGCACAACCTGTTTTCGCACTCTGTTTGAGAACGAGCCCCCCTTGCCAGAACCCGCTCGTATCCAGCTAAATGGACTACTTCCCAGTGGCAGCGGGATCAAGATGCTGCACTGTCGGATTGGCGAGCCCGATGGCAAGCAATGGACCTTCCTGATACCCTTCCGCCTGAATGGTATGAGCGATGTGAAGACCAGCTTGATCGGGTCACCTCTTGTTGGCTTGGCCTTTTTGTGGACCAGCGCCCGGACATTGGAGACGCTTGGCTTATGGTTCTTTCACACTTGGAGACTTCAGAGGGCCACACTGCGTGGGCTCTTGTGAGCTGGGCAGATGGACGGCTGGGTGATCACTTTGTCGACCTGGACGATGTGGACTCGATTCGGCACATTGATCAGGCCATGGCCTGTGTATGCCTTGATGCAGGAATATGATCGCATTTTGCGCCGACAGCCACCTCTTCTTCCACCTTTACCTGATCGACAAGCTCGTCCGCGGCCAGCGCCACTATTGCTTGATTTGCAGGGTCAGTTCTATGACCAGGCTGCTCTTCTCAGTGATTTTCAGGTGAGCTTTGATCATGTTTTGCAGATACCGCCTATGCCTGCTGTGGTGGACCCAGTCACTGGGGAGAGGTTGATCTATGTGATGCACTTCTTCTGGGGCCGACGAAGGCCTGGCGATTGTCATACCTTCATTCTGCAGGAAGAACTCCCACAGGGATATCATTTTGTCCTTCTCTCATTGGACACAGCCATCGATGAGGTCTACGGCAATTTGGATGGTGCCAACTGGGATACTGTGGTGGGGTTTTTGGCTTTGGGGATCACGGCTCGACCCTCCATGCGAGACTTTCTTTGCAGCTCGCCACCTTCCACCCCCTGAGGGTATGCGCCGGCCTCCACGTCCTTTGCAGGCAGCTCAGGCACTTTTGGGGTATTCCTGATCGTAGTACTCGGGAACTTCGACAGTTGATTATGGGCACACGATTGCTCCCACACGATTGCTCCTTCATTCCACCCAAGCTGAAGCACTTATTGGTTTGCATGGTGGGATGAATGCTAGGAAGCGTCCTCGAATCCTCGCAGTCGGCGGAAAGAAGGAGATTCAGTGGCTGCCTCCCTTCCGTCTTCTTCGGACACCACTACGCAGACGCACTACCTCTCCCTTTTGCCTCGCGGCTACTTCCACCAGATTGAGCAATGGCAATATGGTGCCTCCTCGGTCAAGCCGACCACTTTGCGCACCCTGGGACGTGCGCCTTTGGCTTGCACATGAAGCAGCACATCGATCCTTTGGCCACTCGGCCCACTGTTGCTCTTCAAGGGCTGGGTGAAGATGGACAGTGGCGGACATCGGGAGCTAAAGAATATCCTCCGAGATTGCGTCGGGCGATGGTGACCGCGGCTGCTGAGGAGGTGAGGCAGCGTCTTGCCAAGGACGATTACCTTTTCGTGCCTGTTGGCACGATTCCTGCTCACCTTTTGGGGTGGGCTGCAGTACTCGAAAACCGGAGTGCTGTGGCTCATCGTGGTGCACACTGTCCTGACTACCAGGTGGACAGAGTAGGATCATGAATTTAGTGCCAGACGGGCACAAGCTGACGATTGAACGCCAGGAAATGGAAAATGGAAAGTGTGTTCCTTTTAGGCACTCCAAAGGAATACCATGTCGTTGGTGAAACCCTCCGAGCGGGAAACACTGTGGGATAGCTTCGGGGAACACTATATTCTAGCTTCTAACTACTAGTAGCGATGCCCTTGTTACTAGTAGCTTCTAGCTACTCTTCTAGCAGTTTTCTAGCATTTTCTGGTGATTGCATTCATTGAATCGAGGTTGAATTGGTAGCGACACTGTGATAGGACATATGGAAAGGAGATGGAGGGCAACATTGTGAGACAGCGTTAAATGTTGCGCGTGTTCCTCCCTCTTCCCTTCCACCGCTGTCCATGGGACCCAATGATGTGAACCCAATCATTTGCCTCCTCCAACCGAGTAGCTTCTTGCTACTAGTAGCCATGGCCTCCAATCTACTTGCGATGGCCTCCAACCTACTCCAACAAGGAGTGAGGACCAGGACCTTGAAGTAGGGTGGGGGATGGTCTCACCAACGTACTTTTCGTCACTTTTCGGGTGGAGTTTCCTGCAACGGGGGGGCTTGTGTGTTTCAGGAAGTTTTGAACGAAGAGCGGAAGGACAGGGTTGAAAGGTTGAATTTTTTCAGGTAACTTCAGAATCGAGCTGAGTTTGTGTCCTCCATGTGCAAAACGGTATTCTGTGGGATTCTTGATTAGCCTCTCCAAGCAGGGTAAAAACTGCAAAATGTTGGACTGTTCGGTTCAGTAGGGTGCCATGATCCACATTGAAAATCAGGGGGGATTGCCTGAATGAAAAAGTTCTTTGGGACCAACAGAGTCTTCTAATTCCTCAGGGTTGGGTGACCTTTCTAAGTTCCAAAACTCTTGATAGGCTGATGAGATTGATGAATTTCTTGGATCATCAAGGCAGACTGAAGAATTGGATTGAAATGTAAAAAAAAATGAACAAGAGTCGCTTGCATTGGTTGATAAACAAGAATGGATTGGCGCCCCATTGGGTTTGGGTCACTCCGTCGACCGTCCTTTGCCCGAGGCTTGACCTGGTCCGCACGCGCGAGGGTGAACTGCCGCCTCCACCCCCTCCGCCCCAGGTGACATGCGGAGAGTCTGGGGTCTTGGGAAAACGAGATGATGCATCTATATAAAGAGAGGTGAATGCCATGTGTGGTCTCGTTTTTTGTTTCATGAAAGTGAAGAAATAGAAGATCCTATCGTTTCAATCACCAAGAATGATTCATGGGGGTCAAATAGACACCTGCGAAAGTGTCTGGGAATTAGCTAGGGTCGTTTGGGATGGTTTTTCTTTGGGGGCACCCTCCAGTTTCGAGCCGTTGCCTTTCTGGCCTCCTGAATTCTTTCCTAGAAGTGAATCCTTCGCCTCAAGAGAACTGTTCTGAGGGCATGTGCTTTGGCAGTGCTGTTGAACGATGTGCGCATCTCGCGACTGGCCCGTACCAAACCAGGGCGACCCTGCGCTTTGGAAGACCCAAAATGTTGTGTTCTTCATCGGACATGTTGAGGACACCTGCATCCATTTGCCCCATGTAGTAAGCAGTGGGGGCTTTTGTTAAACCACAAAGCAGCCAAAACACGATGTTTGTGTTCTGCCTCGTGGAGCATTGACATGGACTCCGACAGCGTTCCGTTTCCCCGGCCTGAAAGACCGTTGAGTTTCGAAGGCCGCAGGCTTTGCGAGTCCGTCTTGCTCCGTCAATGGTCTTTCAGGTCTTGCAACCCGTTTCTTTTCAAGACATCCTACGTCTGAATGAACAAATGATGAAGGGCGAAGTTTGTGCGTGTGGTTTTCTTCTGTTATTTTTCCCGTGTAAGACCTATAATATATATATATATATGTGTGTTCTTTCCGAACTGGGTGTGCATCGCTCTGAAACAGAGATGCGACAACCGACATGGTGCCTGTTTTGTGTGATGCGGTTCTCTCCAGACATACGTAAGATGGGAGATCTTTTGGCATTTCAGTTCCTTCAACGGCCAGGAGTTGGACTCTGGGCTGGGCCTCTTCTCATGGCTGATGTCTGGGCACCCTGCGCCCGGGCGCGGCCGGGGTGGAGCAGCATCGGGGTGCGGCAGCATCCGGGTTTAGCTGCTTTACCTGAAAAGAAGAGCTAAAGACATAGAGCTATGGCAACAAAAGGTTGCAGGTATGCTAGATTGGCTATGAATATTGCAGCATCACTTTATTTGAAGGTCCGGGGAAGGCTGATAACTCTCGCTGCTGGTAACTCATTTCTTCGGGCCCTCCATCTGAAAAGCTGGGAGGCGGTCCAGTGATCACTGAGGTGGGTTCTATGAACGTTTGCACTGCAGCGTTGGCTGAGAAACCAAGTACACCCCACCCACCATTTGGAAATGGGGAGGATAGACTATTAGCGCAATACTACAATAGCCATTGCTTTGGCATTCCACCTCCTCAGCCCCATCAAGGCTGGTGCTAGTCGCCTGGTTAGCTATGGCCACGGTGGCAACTTGGCGACATTGGGGACGAGCAAATGGGCAGGTCGAACGAGTGTTGCCCAAAGTCTTGGCCTTATTGAACATTGTATGCTCAAATGGGATGGTGGCCAGGGTTTTTGACCGAAGAAGTACTATTCACCGAACTTGATTCAAGACTTGGCCAATTGTAAAAAGACGGCCCATGGTGTTTTCACGGTTGAAAGAGGTTCCAACTTGGTCTTGAACAAAGAAACAAGATCAAAACAGAAGATAAGTAGCGTAAGTAGTTGGTCCACCTCTAAGGATATCACTCTTGTTTACCTACCCTGTCATTGACAGCACTCCAAGCAGCTATAGTTCAACTGTAAAACAGTAATTGCTCATCAATCTGTTCGTTCACCCTACTAAAATGGCGGAAATCTCAAACAGACTAGTACAGATCCCCAGAAGCAAGCAATATTTGACACAGAAGCAGCGCTCAAGTAGAACAGAGGGGCCAGGTCATGGGGCCGTAGCTCAGCGCAAGAGCACAGAGCTCGGCTGGCGGGACTGGGAGGAAGGCGCACAGGACCAACCGTTGGATTTCCAATAAGACCGTTGCTGGATGAGCTTCCATCTCAGCTTCCATCTCATAAAGGCGAGCATTAAAGGTGAAAAGAAAAGGAACGAGCTTGAGCTCTTCGTGCCAGATGGTTCTTTCGACCAATTTCGACCACTCCAGAACCTGCCATCGAACCAAGAAGAACAACGTGCCGCCTTTTCAAGGCGTCGGTAATTACCTACGAAGCGCGGTCCGAAGGATGCCATGAGACGTCTCATGGCAAGTCGCTGACGAAGATGGCCATGGCAGTCGCGCACCGACACCTTCGAAGTCGCTGTCCTTCTTTCCTCTGACGCCAAGCCAGGCGTTTTAGCAGACCCGTTCGGCAGTGCGTGGTCTGCGCTCGTCTTAAAGGACGTCTTGAAACCGAAGAGGGCTCAAGATCGAAACCGAAGACGGAAGGGTGAAAACGTATGGGGTCCAATCTGTGATCAGTGAGTCCCAACATCCTTAAAGCGAGATCAGAATCCAAAAGCGAGAGCCGCAAGAGCTTTGTTTCGAGAAACTGTGGACTTGGCTTTCGAGGAACTCTTCACATTCAAAAGAACCGGCCAGAGGCGCAGCACGACAGTCCGACAGTTGCGTAGGAAAAGCAACTTTCAGAGACCAACCTGGAAGTTGGGCATTTCCATAGTTTCCCATGTACTAGTAACAAGAAGCTACTAGTAACAGGTGCATCGCTAGAAGTTTAGAAGAAGCTACTAGTAACAAGTGCATCGCTACTAGTTTAGAAGAAGCTACTAGTAAGAAGTGCATCGCTATTGGAAATAAGAAGCTAATAGCTTCTTGTTACTACTAGCGTGGCACTTGTTACTACTAGTAACAAGAAGACCATCCCTGTGCTTTGGATGCTCCCACCCCTTGGGACGCAGGTTCCATCCGTCCCTCCGAAAAACTCGCTTCGACGTGCGCCACGACCAGCGAGGCGAAGCGACCGGAGGGACATGACGCAGAAGGTGAGATGGGCGACGCGAGGGACGCGAGGCGGGTGGAAGAACTGATGATGTTTGTGTACTGATCAGGTGGAAGCCTTGCAGCACTGGAGTTACCAAACTGATTTAGCTATCAGCTATTGCATGGATCTGTGTGTTTGATTTGGAGCCGGTTCTTCAAGGTGCCAATTCTGACATTGGAGGCGATGTTCACCATTTTTCTTATGAGTGTTTGCGTGTGTGTCCACTTTGAAACTGGGCGGAAGACAAAGAGAGTAGAATTCGAGGATGCTGGTCTGCTGGTGGTCTCTTCTCCACAAGGATGCATCTCAAGACATGAGGGGACCTCCCCACATAACACTGCTAGGATTGGAAGAGTAGATGAAACATGCTTTTGGGAGCCCGCCCATTCTGAGAGCTGCGAAAAGGACATGTAAATTCAATAGCAACTGATGGTTCACGCAGTCCCTCCTGAAACGGCAGGCTCAGATCCCAAATCCAAAATATCAAAACCGCAAAGCCAATGCTCCTCGGGTGGATGGAGCTTCTCAAGATCCAGACCGATCGCTCCTGAAATCCCATTTTCGTAATCGGAGTTCGTGGCGCTGTCGTTCCCATTCTTGTTTCCCCAACTGGGAGGAGTCATCGCTCATGTTGCTGGGGTGTGGTTCATACAGCCGAAGTCCGGGATATGGACCTTTTGCTGCAGCCGTATGTCGAAATGGAGCTGTTCCCCCATAGTAGTAGCAAGGACACTACTAGGTGGAGGCCATCGCTACTAGCAACAAGAAAGGTTTCTAGTAAGTAAAAGCTATACTAGTAGCTCCTGGCATCGCTACTAATAACAAGAAAGCTGTTGTTTCTTTTTGGTGAACCAAATGTGGATGACGCGGATGGCCGTCTCCAAAGGTCCGACAGGTCCCGAAATGCGTGGAGCAAGCTCAGCTACACCAAATGCTGTCCCCTTTGGCGAGCTGGTAAGGAAGGACCAATTTGTACGCATAGGCAAGCGGATGCATAGGTTGGTGATTTGAGAGCTTTGGTAAAAGATCGAACCAACACTTAGCCTACCAACCATGGACATGCTTTCACGCTCCGGTAGGCCTGTTGTGGACGGGCCTCTGGGTTGGCCCATGCGTGCTTTGACAAAAATGTGCATCATCTTCTGCAAGAGAACCGTTCTTCGTCCTCCACGGCGGTGCCCGATGGGTTGTCAACGGAGCAGGTCGTTCCTTCGGAGAGTTTCGATGGAAAGGAACAGCTCCCGGTTTCTCCAGGCCGCCAGGCTGGTTGCTCGCCTTTCTTCTGGCCTTGCCAAAAACCCAAAAGTCAACATTGTCAGCTACTCCGTGAATCATAAGTCGAAAGAGTGCCTGATACTGTCCAAACGATTTTAACCTGATCCTAAGAGATTGAAGCGGGCATCCCCAAATGTACTTGTAAAAACCGGAGCCTTCATGCTGACACCAAAGCGAAGACGATCCAAAACGGAGTCTGGCCGTCAGCGATCTAGGGCACAAAAGCAATGTGTATTGCAGAAGGCCATGACGTTCCTACGAGCAGCTATCAACGCTTTTGTTAGTAACCACAAACACACGTCATCAGCCATTGCCACATCCCATCTACAAGACTTCCGGCCGTATATGTTTATGTTTCCATCTTGTGAACAGATGCCTGTCTACACACCGGTACAGTCCAAGTCAAGACCCTGCTCACAGCCCAGCCATTCCTCGCGCGTTGGGATGGGCATCTTCGTCCTTCAGCCAGCATCGCTCGTGCCGATCTCGTGCCGACACGTCGATGGCAACTCGGTGACCAGGGGAGCGTCGCCAGGGAGGCCCCCCATGGCCCCCCGGGTACTTCGTATACACGGTGCGCGTTCCAACAAAAATCATGTCAAATTGGCCTGTAGAAACCGATCCCAAAACAGCCAGACCGTCAAGAAAGAATGGTTACGAATGGACCTTTTGTGCTACACGAGCCAGACCTTGGACACCAAAATGGGCCACAAAGAGTGAAAAGTCTCTCTTCTGCCGAAGTGAAGGACTTCTTATGCCGAGACACAATGTCAAGCCTTTTGCGGATCTCAGAAATGCACATGGATCTCAGGAAAACAACCATCCAAAATGGTGTGCGCCAACATCTGCCCTTGTCCAGCGTCGGCAAGCACACCAACACCTCAACCACCTCTTATCCTCGAAAGCAAGAGTATCCTACTCTACACGATGGTTCCTGCTTTTCTCGCGAAGTACTCACACTAAACGAGCGTCATGGGCGGTTCTTCAGTACCTGGGTACTGACGCACGCATAGGGCTGTCTTGCTTCCTATGTCTTTCGTAGTTCGTTCACTGGTCTAGCGATGGCCTCCAACCTACCCTAGTGTTCTCTTCAGTCTCATTTCGTTTGACGGACAGCACGTCAAGAGTTGGAGTCATCCACCAGTCTTTCATTCCAATCCCCCAAACGGCTCTCGCTCAAAACAACGAAAAGGGGCCAGTCGCTGGCCCACAGGTCGTCAACACGATGGTGAACGCTTTGGGTTTCTCTTTGTTCCACACGGGTCCTCCGGGCCGTGTGGACGGATTTCTTGGATTTCCGACGGTTCCAGGCGCGAACAGCTGGGCGGCCTTGTGGCATGGTTGTGCCTGGGCCGCTGCAGGCAGTCGACAACGCCGTCGAAAACGGACGCAGAGGTCATGTGGAGAAGTCACAGACAAATCACACCCTATCAGACCGAAACGCACCATGGTTCGGGGGTTCCAGAGGGCTTAACGGTTTAGGGTTTAGGGCTGTGAGGGGTGTGATGTGGGCGCCGAAGAAGCCAGTGTCACCGCCTTGGTCGCGAAAGGATCGGCGGCGAGGTGGCGAAGTGAGGTTTGGAACAAAATAGGGTCTATGGATCCAAGAAGGACAGTCAAGACAGATACACATCAATCAATCCATCCGGATGTGAGCAGCTTTTCCGCATCCGGTGAAGGTCCGGAATCTCACCAGTGGTATGTGATGTTGGGTGCCAAGAAGACAAGCAGAGTTTCAGGGCCAGAACAGGAAAAACTGGAGAGGACAAGCGTCAGATGGTGCAGCCGAGTCTCTGGTGATGTCAATCCCGGGCGATCGCCCCGAGCCGAATGTCGCCAGGAGCCTTGCTGTGTTTGGCCGCGGTCGCTCCCATCTTCGCGTGGTAAAAAAGGGAGTCCGCAGTGTCCGCGACGTGACGCGACTTGGCGGAGTCCGCACAGAGACCTGGTGTTTCAATGGAGTGTTCCGATTCGTCACAAGCTGGGTGTGGGTGAAGCTAGAAGCTAGAAAATAGCTGGGTGTGGGTGTGAGTGACTGCTGTAGCGAACGGGTGTTTCTGATCCACGCCCGACCTTTGATCAAAAGGCCCCTTGTGAGTCCCGGTTTGTATTGACTCACTGGACTTTATTGGAGGTAATCGTCACTCCGATCTATCACGAAGCTATGTGTCATCGCATTCTCTTATATAATCAGCCAAGCAGAAACCAAGCAAGACATGGTAAGCAGCTGCTTCTGCCATCGTCAGCAGAAGCCGCCCAGAGTCCACCGTCGTCGCTGTTGGTGTCCGTAGCTTGGCTCAGAGATTTTTTCCGCGTTGGCCCTTCTAAGGCGTCCGGACTTTTTCGGGCAAAGCAGGTGGAAGTTTGTGGTTCTTTTTTACTCAAGTAGTAACAAGAAGCTCTAGTAGCTCCCGGGAATATATACTAGTAGTAAGAAGAAGCTACTAGTAACAAAGGGCATCGCTACGAACGGAGCATGAATTAGGTTGTATATCAGTCTACTACTTGCTTTAGTTTTGTCAATGTTCTTTTTCTCTGTAGACCCTTGGACCTGTCCTTTTCTTCCTTCCTTCCTTTACTTCCTTTCCTTGGGGGGCAGGTTCTTGAGTGCTTCATCGGCTGAGGAACTGAACAGCAGCCAGCTTCCGTTTGGTGTTCGTTGAGCACAGATGGGTGCAAGAAAGAGTTCCTCAGCAAAGTCTTCGACACGGGATGACGGACACCAAAACGAAGTACCACCAGAATTTCCTCATATCCTATTTTGTCATTTAAGGAACGGCTGGCACAACCAAGCAGAAGATTCGTGGACGAATCCGAACGCTCCACTTCTGGGATTCCATCCAGCGAGTCGAAACACACACCGCGCGGCCAGGCCGCCGTCGTCTCAATGGCACGAGGCCCAGAGGCGCCAAAGGGCGCGGTGAGGGAACGGACCGGGTTCAGACGCACCGAAGGAGTTGGGATCCTTTTCTTTTTGTTTAAGGGGAAACGTAAAGCATCTAGCACCCCATTTTTCCTTCAAATAGGCCCTTTGACACTGAAAAGAGTGTGGCATGGTTTTGGTTGTGTGACTCAAATGGTTTGGTTTTAATCACTGTGTAAACGACAACATCAACCAGGCACCGAGATAAAACAATTCCCTGGTGTTTGAAGCTTTCCAAAGATACTTGTGTAGAAAGGGAAGATGCTTTGGCTTCCAATAACTTCTATAGAGACTTTGAAATGGGTATAGACAAGTAGACTCCTTTCTTTCATAGCATTGGAACGCCCAAAAAAACGCACCCAACCAAACCGCACGTACAGCTTTAAAAGCCTGGTGGGCCTCGAAAGCCTGGTCCTACGCGATGGCCTCCAACCACTAGCAATGACCACCAATAGCTGGGTTTTACCCGGATGGAGTGAAGTGCCAGGTCGATCAATTCTTCAATGCCCTGGATGTGAATCACGATGGTCAGCTGTCTCGCGAGGAGTTCGAGGCGGTGTCCAAGCGGCGTCCATGGTCATTGACACTCTGAAAGCACCGCAAAAGCATGCAAAAGCACTGCAAGCAACGAAGCAGTCAAACAGGTTACGTCGAAGTCACTCTTCCAGTCATTTGGAACACGGACCCCACAAAATCCCGCGGCTTGGTGAGGCCTTTCGCTTCAAGCTGGGGCAATTTACTCACCAGGCGAAGACCGAGATGCATCACGCATCCGGGCGTATCGAAGGATGTCACTGGGCTTACTGAAAGATATCTGAAAGACATGGAAAAACCATTTCAAGCGAATTGAGCCGTTGGTTGCTCTTCTCGGCTTCAAAATTTGATCAACCCCATGCACCAGCAAGAAAAATACATCGACGCGGCTCCCAACAGGCCTCGTTGAAAGCCCAAGTTCAAGGGCATGGCTGACAGTCCCGCGGTGTGGAATCCACGACAGTTGGAGGAAGGAAAAGGGACAGAGAAACCAATATTGCATTTGTACCAGACAATAGGGGTATCTTCGCACACACGTGAAGAGTCCAGCATCTTTACTTTTCAGCATGCTTCATGTCCCTTCTAGTAGGGACCACATCAAAAGCCTCAACTGAGAGACCTTAAAATACTCTTGACGTGCTCGAATTGATTTGGAAGAAGAACGTGAAAGGGGTTTGATTGGCCCATCTGGTTGTTGGGATGGTGTGTCTTCAGTTTCCCGTAGAGCTGAAGACACGCAGTGGACGCCCAAAAGCCCAAACTGACTTGGAGTGTTTCCTGTTCGACTTGCTGCCAACTGAGATGTCTCCAACCCCAACTGCAGTGGTGGGTCAGGTGCTTTTTTCTCACCGCACAACCTGGCAGTTCACAGTGAGCAGCCCAAACAACTGCACAAATGTCATCAGAGTTGTTTTTATCGCATAGAGAGCTACATGCGGAAGTATCAGTGAATTTGTTGTAAATCTGAGGGCTGACTTCCAATCATGACCGGATGGTTGGCTACTTCCATGAAATCTCGGCATGCAGCGACCGCCCGGTTTAGCGGCTGCCCCGCGGCCGCGCTGCGGCTTTCCAGGCGGCGCCCCAGGCGGCACCCCACCACCACGAGACGTTGGTCCGTAGCGTGGTGGGTGACACGGTGGAAATACCGGCCGAGCGCGGCATCCCGGGTGCACTGGGAGAAGGGGCAGAGGGGAAAACAGAGGGCTGGGCACTGGAAATTCGATCCTTTCGGGACGCGGTGACTCCACCAATCAGGTGGAGTCTTCACAGACCGCATGTGGATCACCGGTGAATCCGCGCGGCGCTCTCAGCTCTCAGCTCCCGTCGTCGGTCCGAGGCCTGTGAGCCAGGCAGGGTGAACCGGTGTGGGGGGCACCAGACGTCTTCGCCTGGTCTTATCCGTTTGCAGATCAGTTGTCGAGCTCCCAGTGATGTTCACACACTACTCGGCATATTTGGGCACTAACCCCCTGAGCCAAAGCGCAGGTCGGGGGCAGAAATCAATGGGTTCGCTGGAGAAGACTCTTTGTGAATGATGCTTTTGGTGTCAAGCCTCAACCAACGCTCAATTGTAAATTTCTCGGACAAAAATCGGGAAATTACAAAGTGGCGCCTCCAGTAAGCAATCAACTAACAACCAGGCAGGCCCAAACTACCTCTTGAGCAGAACATCGAGTGGCATCGCTGTTATGTCAAGGAGTTTCAGTGTCATACCAATCTTATTACCATTGTTCTATAGTTCCAGCGAAAGGAAAACTACTGAGTCACAAGGGCATCGCTACGAACCGTAGCTCCGCTCTCCCAAACACTACCTTCCGGCCGCAAGGGCATCGCTACGTCCGGCGCAAGGTGCCTTACCAAAGCGTCCTTGTTACTACTAGTAAGGCACTTGTTACTACTAGCGAGGCACTTGT